ATAAACTAAGAGAAAAGGGTGTTTATTTTGCAAATAAAGTGATTACAGAGTTTACAAAAATTGGGTCATTTGAAATCTTTCAGCCTTCTGAATGTCCTTGATCATCACCACCATCAACTTATACACAGTGTTGGTACTCCTCCAGGACAGGTGCTCCATGAAAACAGAAGATGTGTGAGCTTCCTAAAGGGGTAGGGTTTGTGCACATCTTGCCCAGCCTACTACTTTTTCACAGATTATTTTCCACTAACACACAGACCAGAGGAATTAGATTTGTGTTGCAAGAAGAGTAAGCAGGTGACCATTATACTCCATCCTAGTGACTGAACGTCACCAAGAAGGACAGAGCAGTCCTGAAGTGCCGAATATAAGCTTGAAATCCTTATTTATGCTTGTGATCCTTCAGAGAACCTCCCCATCACCACAAACCAGAGGATCTCAGGCTGTTGATGTGCTCACTCTCACAAAAAAAAAGACATGATCAGGGAGGGCTCTTGTTATAGCATGAGGAGCCAGGGCATGTACAGGTGACTAGATGCTTGAGGGAGCTTTCTGAAGGGCAGGAGTCTCCTCAGCAGGGCACCCAGTGTCCACACTGTACCTCAGAAGTGACCACAATTCACTCGGGCTCACAAAAACACTCCCTGCTCATCTCGGTCACAGGAGACACCAGAGCCTTTGTATGAAGGATGATGCTGCAGCGAGGAAGGGCCTTGATCATCTTTCTTGCCCATTGTGGCTACCATGAAGTGACCCTGGGGTGATCATCCCATGCCAGGGCCTGTCCATGCTCCCGACAAGCACAGATACTGTAGTTTTTCTGATTAACCCACTTGCAGCGTGCTCTTTCCCAGTCCAACTCCATGATCTTTGGATGTTATGCCGTTAGGTCTCTGCTGCTTCAGACGCAGATGAACGTGCCCCAGCCCCAGTCCCCTCAGACAGATCCACGTGGTCCACAGGACCAAAAGGGCCTCAGAGAGGCTTTCGGAAACATGTCCCATTTCCTGGTGAGCTCTGCTGTTTAATCATGTAATTACAACCCAAGATGAAAGTGTGGCTACATTTAAGAAGCAATATACTGCATGAAAAAAGAAATAGCTATTTGCAGAGCCATAGATGCCATCACAGCATTAAAAACTTCAAGGGGAGAGAATTAAAAAATAAATCAGCACACTTAATTGCTATGCAACTCCTGCAGAGTTCTGGGTTGATGGCCAGAGCTGGACGCGTGATGAAGAGGGAAGGCTGCGAGCAGCACCCGCCCACGCGGCCGGGCCCCGCGGCTGCTAATGCCAAAGGCAGCGTTAAGGAAGATGGCCACAGAAAACAGCTCCATTAGGTGCAGTTCTGAACTCATAAGGACATTGAAGCAATGGATTCATAAACACACCAATACAGCTAATGCATTCCTAACCTTTGCTGAAGGGATTGAACCTTTTAAAAATACAACTGATCTGAAAGCTCCTTTGTAAATACTTCAGCCAGTTGAACAGGCAAAAGAAGTAAAAAAAAAAAAAAAAAAAAAAAAAAAACACTATAACCTAAAAAAAGTTCACTGTAGAGACACTATGGCAACTCAGGGGGAAAAAAGTAAGGCAGAAAGAATGATAATGTATGTGGAGAAAATACCACCATGAAAAAAAAAGAAACTACATTGTAATTATACCAGCTTTTTATTACTTTTTGATCATTACTATTATTAGGTGATGTTTCAGTGTATCTCACATCTACATTTATTGTGAACAAATACACATTCAAAACTGGTTAAGATCCAAAATGGGCAAGAAGAAGGCATGCGGATTTCAGTGTTAAATTAAACTGCCACACTGCAATGCCAGTAGCAAGGCAAGATAATTAATTCCTGGAGTGCCAGGAACCTTCCAGTGTCACTAACCAGAAATAATTATTTTTCCTTCCTCTCACTTGCAACCAGGACTGGCAGAACGCTCCCATCCTGGGCCTTAGCTTCCCTCATGTCTGAAACGTCAGCGTAAGCTCTGCATTTTGATTTAGTAAGAGCAGGTGTAGATAGAGCTGAGATTCTGTGTCCTCTTTGCCCACCTCCTGTATCTTCCCAGCTTGTTTCATTGCAGAGGTCAGCCTTTGGTTGTAGGCCAGTGTTGGGAGAGGTGGCAGAGGAAGGGACTAGGAAAGGAAAGTAGCTTCAACTAACGTCCAGATTCAATAGTAGCATCTCCTTTGGTGAAGTGAAGAGATAAAACAGAGGATATCAGGCAACGGGGAAAAAGAGAGGCAAGTAAGAGTCCGTAAACATTTCTGCCAGCCTCAACTGTCAGTGTACAAAAACTTGTCAAGAAAAAGGTTGCAAGAAAATCATGAAAGATATGTGGTATCTATGATGATGACAGAGAGGACATTTATTCCTGATGGAAAAAGAAGAGGAAGAAATGTGTGACTCTTCAGAGAACTGAGTAAGTACAGAGATGGAAAATATACAAACACAACAGAATATGATATACAAATGGGTACTTAACAGGGGGATGTATAAAAAAGCACAGGTGAATGCAGCAGAGGAAACAGAGAAACTCACTGTCAGATAAAAAAAAAAAAGATGGATTTGAAGAGGATAGAGAAAATAATGACCACAAATAAAGCAGCAAATTAAGAAAATTTATTTGCAGATAGACATTAGGGAGCAGGAGTATATTTTACTTTCTGATTTTTTTAAAGCTCTCTGTTTGCTATTATAACTTTAATTTGGGGTTTTTTTTCTCCATAAATTGGAGAACCATACAGAAGAAAGAAGACCTTCTCTGTAACTGTCCACCACTGCCACAGTAACTAGAGATAATGCTCAGATATACTCAGGCATATAAGCCATACACACTAATCTTTAAAGAACAGACAGACTGCAAAAAAGGAGACTGACAAAGACACGAGAGTCTCTCCTTTCTGACAACCTATGTATTTTAAACTATATTTTCCCCTCTCTGTTCCCAAAACTTCTTTTTTAACATTCCCCAAATGTATATTATGCATAAAAGCTAATTTTACCACAGAGGCCTGCTTCAGCATGCTTTTGATATTAGCAGAGGTTCAGTTATAAATAGTAAGCTAATATTTTTTCCAGAGGAAAACTAAAATCCTGAACCTTGCTCCCTTCAAGTATTCAACTACTTTTCAATTATAAGGCTACCATGGGCCAAATTTGCAAACGACTCCTCAAAAAAAAATTTGTGCTTTTCTCTTAGGACCCTCAGAAAATTCATACAAAATATAATATGGAGAATAAGAACTGCAAGAGAAGAAAAATACACACAGCCTTCTGAACAGAACGTATTTGTTCACAGGAATAATAATTAAGAATACATTTGAAATGCCGTTCTGGTATACTTGGCCCTCTTTTTATGTCATGATCTGCAAATGCAGTTTAAATATTAATTTAAATATCATGATAGAAGCTAAATATCTTAATTTCCTTGCAGCCTCCTTGTTTCCACTTTGTACAATTTGTGATAGGACTTTTTTCACATTATAAAAAGCATAGTTCCTAAGGAAAAGTTCATAAAGTTGAATTCTGACACTCTTAAGAACAATAAGGACACATTTTGACAGTCTTACTCATTCAAATACTGGTCCAATATCATTAAAGACACCAAAAGAATGACAAAAATAGAATCCAGCTAAAATCAAATTCTAAATATAAGTTTGTGTTTATGTGCATATATGTACATGCACATGAACAAAAAATCCACCTACAGAGAACTGCTGCAGTTCATGAAATCACATCATTAACTTGTCTTTTCATATACCATTAGTAAATGTGTTTACCTTTATTAAGATGACCCGAAATGCATACTGCAAAGTAAATCCTCACCTTTCAGAAACTAACTGTGACCACACCATTAATCTGCCACCCAAAATAAAAACAGGTTTCTGCAACCTACTCTCAGTAAGGTACACAAAACTGCTATTTCCAAAAAACACTTCAATGTTGTGGACTTGGTGCTTTTCAGCAGGAAATTCTTCCTCTAGAATTCATTTGAAATGCATTTGTTATAAAATTGTACTTCTAAACCAGCCTCTTTCCCTCCCCTTCCATCAGCATAGTGTGTCTGCTGTCTGTAACCAGCAAGGATTCACATGTGGTTTTTAACTCATGTCAGTGCACACGAAGAAATTGCCACTGTTTAAAATGTGTTTACAAGTGAAAAAAACTGAAATCTGAGTGGCTCTCATAGCAACCTGAACTGTTCATCCTTGTAGCAGAAAAATTTGTAGCAATTGAGCACAAACTCTCACACCAAACCACACACCACTGCGTTCAGTTATTAAGAGATGAATTACTTAACAAAGCATTTCTATTTACTACATTATTTACTCTCTTTTCACTTCAGAGCAGAAAAGCAAAGCAACTCCTATTTTAAAACAGCTGTGCTAAAAGGCTACTTCAAAAAGTCATTACTGAAAGCCACATACCAGATTTCACTTTAAGTTTACTATTGTTCAATCTTTCCTCATAGTCTGAAGTTCACAGTGTGTTCCTGCCTTTTAATTCTTCTCTGTTCCCAAAAGACTGTAAATGCATCTGGAGAAACTTCATTCCCAACTATCCATCTCATTCTTTTTTGAGGATTAGCTGTAGTGCAATTGTTGTATCTCCAGTACTTTACACCTGGTTATTAAAATGCTAACAGCTACCAGTTTTCATCAGCTCCATCTTTTAATATCCAGGGAGGCTCTGCATGAGTATAGTAATTTGCCTTTATGGTAAACTGAAAGATAGCAAATGAAATTATAACACTAAAACGGTAGTTACACTGCAATAGCTACTAAGTAGTAACAATGGGAATATCAAAGCCTACAACAGTACTTGAGAAAGTAACAGGAATTTAAAATATACTACTACAGATTAACTCAATACCGTGAAATAGCTTTTGTGCTATAATACAGCCTCTAAAACCTCCATCAAAAAATGACATTTCACTGTCACCAGGTCTTGAACAAACATAGAGTAAGATACAGTCATTACTTACTGGTTTAGCTTCACATCTAGGATGAAAGATGATCCAAAAGCATCAACCTGGAAGCTGGCTCGAGCAATGTGGGTAGACTGCAATATTAAAAAGACTGGAATTAGCATTCAACCACAACAAAACATACCATACAGGTTTGTGAAGGTAGAAAGTAAATATATTCACTAAGTAACCATATGCCATTAACCAAATAAAATTGCATTGAATGGACAAAGCAGTCCATGATAACAAATAAAAGATCTGTTCTCTGAATCTACCAGGCTTATTCAGGAATTCCCAAGAACACAACCTATGACTGCGAGTAACCTCTCGTCTTAACCCATCCACACTATAGGAAACAGCTCTCTGAACTTCCATCCTGAGCAAAACCCTGAGCAAAGGAAAATGGAAGACTTCCCCTGGATAATGTTATTTGTTCCTTAATCTGACTCTGGACACAGAACAGTGGAGAACAGCTGAGACATTGCTGGTTTGGTCAGATCGGGATACACTCACAAATCTCTCTGACATTACCTGAAATAAACTGTTCATTCAGACATACTCTTGTATAAGTCCATATAGAGAAGTGATAGCAAGGGGCTGAATCTGATCAGTTGCATTTTCTGAAAAGCTCTGACTCACCACCCTGTAACCCACCTCCTTCAAAAGGCTCCCAAAAATCCAACCCCTGAGTAGTCACTAAAGCCAAAGAAAAATGAATGCTAAAGAAACCTCTCTCCCTCCCTCTCTCCTTCCCTCTCTCCCTCCTTCCCTTCCTTCCTTTCTTCCTTTCTTTCCCTCTTTCCAATACATTTTCCCTGAATTAATAGCTTTCATTCAGTCCTACAGAGGACAAACATGGGAACACTTTGTAACTTGCGAACTGACAGAGTATTTATTCTAGTAGTAGTGGAAGAAAATACTCAGCTATCCAATGGCAACACAACAGTTGTTTCTAGACCTGAAAACTCCCAAGAAACAGAACAGCCAAGTTATTTAACTAATTAATAAGAAAAGCTACTTTCAGACATTCTGGAGCAGTTTCAACTTTGTTCTTATTTTCTTTCCATTGAAATCTGCACATTAAGATTTGAAGCATGTAGACGGAGGAATCTAAGAGGAAACACTGAAGAACCACTTATAACTCTAAACTACACTTCTCCAAATAAATACAATACAGGATAGTACAACTGTAACAAATGATTTATTGAAAACTCTGGGAAACACAGGGCAGGATGGGATAATGTGAATCATCAAATTCACCCTCTCTAAAACTACTGGCAGGCTTTCAGTAAGCATTAAATCCAGAAGAGTTGAGAATACCAGTTTCCCTGGAAAAGAATAGCAACAAAGAAATGGAAAGTTGAGGGAATCATGACTTTTTTGTTTATTACATTTTTTAGTTGCCCTCCAGCAGGATTTTCTTTTTATGTCTACATATACAAGCATAAGTATTAATAAATAAAACCGACAACAACCATAATACATGTTTACAAACAACTGATTCCTTTAAAAAAAAAAAAAAAAAATTCAGGACAGCTTCTCTAATTAGAAGAAGCTCAGACTGAGTGTCCTCTATAAAAATGCCTAGCTGTACCACTGCTGTGAATGTGCATGCAAAATTGCATGATGAGAAATTCCACATATTTACATTACCATTTAGAAGGATGCAGTATTAACTGGAAAGCTTTTTAGAAGGCCTCTCAGTAGGTACAATTCACAGAGTCAGATATCTTTTCAGCTATCCCCATTACATCTAACCCACTTTGTCACACAGGCCACAGGTCTTTGCTAAGTGGTTCCTGTAATTTCTGGATGATTTATGAGCATCTCTTTTGAACAAATGTATAATATTTGACCAACTAACAAAATATAACATATAGTTTACCTGGGTAAATAATTTCAGTAATTACCATATATATTAAAAGCCTACTTTCTAATCAAAAAAAAAGGCCTTAAAAAAAAAAAATAAAGAAACAAGCTAGTCCCAAATGGCCTGTGACACAGTCGGCTGGTATCTACGATGATGGACACCCACAGCATGTACAGACACGCACAGGATGTATGGCCACCCACACGTAGGACCATCATTTAGCCATTTCTGGCCTGCAGCAGCTAGCACAACCACAAATACAGCAAAAACAACCATCAACAAATTACCACGTTAGCATTGGCTTTTCTTTTCCAATTCTCAGGCAGCAGAGTTTGCTTTGAATTATTTTAAAATTCCATCTTCTCTTGCTAGACGTGAATTTTTAGGCTACTGCTCATAAAAAGGATGTGACAGGCCAAGAACTGAGTAAGGTACAAGGGGCCTACACCACAACAACCACTTCCTGACCAAAGGAGCAATGGCAGCCCAGTTGTTTGCTTTTCATCATTACATTATTAAATGTAAAGAATATTCTACAGTACTTTACGACTGTTTGTCAACAACATAGCTACATATGCTATCACTTAGATCTCTGTACACAGCATAACCAAGTCTTCTGTATGACCATATGCTGGTACCAAAAGAGAATTCATCAGTAAGGAAGAATATAAAAAGCCTAACTTAAATTTCTAAATGTGCATTCACTAAATGTAGCATTTGTCATTAAAATGTATTCACCTCATTCACTATAAGAACAAAAATTACAGGGGTTTTTTTGGTTTGGTTTCATTTTTAACTGCTAGATACATTCCACCATATTGATTTGGTCTGGGAAATTTCCTCCCTTGAACATGTCTCTAAGATCAACAATTACACGGCTAATGTATTTCTGAGGTGACCCTGGATCATAGTTATTCTCTGACAGAAGCTGTTAATGTGAATTTGAGGGACAAAATACCTATTAATAAATTAATATGAAAAACATTACACAGATGTAACCACCCCCTAGACAAGTGGTGCAAACCCAGGAAGCTTAACATTAAGTTTAAGCTCCAGTGCAATCAAGCATATATCAAGTGTATCTCAAACCTACTGAGATACCAAAATGTACATTTTGGATAGCCAGCCAAACTCAGCTCTTTTGAGAAATTGCAACCTTTCCTTCAACCCTGGTTGTAAAACACGGCAACACTGAGTACTGTGGGCTGCTGCCGAAAACGAACAGTTCTGCCCCATCCTGGCCACACATTCCCACATGCTCTCCCTTGTTGGCTCATGTGACTTTCCAGAAAGCCAGATCAGCATCATAAAATTAATCATTACTTGGAGTGGATCCGTTTTCTGTCGGAAAAATAAGCTGATGTAGTCACACCATGAGTAGACGGGATGGAAGGGACATACAAGAGAGAATGAAGACAGATTCCCTCTTTCAATAACAGCTAACAGATCTCATTCAGCGTAACAAAAAAATGCACCTTAAGAGTGCCAGCCAGTACATTTTTTAGGATAACAATTCTTCTGAATATCTAGTTAAGAACCACTAAATAAAGAAATGGACTTTTAAAAGGCTTGGCTCTACATCTACCTAGCTGCTCAGTGAATGGGTAAAATGGTCAGCTGCAAACAAGGCTTACACTCATAGACATGTCGATAAAAGAACTCAAAGAAAGGAAATAAGTACTTTTATTCCATCTATATCACCTCATTCAAGCAGAAGTAACAAGGGAGACACCTGCAAAGGCTCCTCTAAACCACTGAAGCAAGACAATCAATTATATCATTGAGTTCTCAAACCAAGGAACCTTCTCAGAAAATTCGAGGGTTTTTAAACAACCATAGGCGTGACACATTGATGGCTGACAACTAAGTCATAAAAGGGGAGTTCTTGGAGTCCAGGAGAGATGCAGTCAATGCAGAACATGAACAAGAGCCAGGAAAGGAGAATCTAACAACTTAATGGAAGAGTGCAGTGCCGTGCCTCCAACACAATCAAAAAGTTCTGAAATTTTAATGTCATGTAACTGAAGAAGGAAAGTATCGATAACAACTCTGAAATTAGCTGCAGCACTTTCAGATGCAAAAAAAAAAAAAAAAAAATGAGGGACTCTTTATCAGGGAGTGCAGTGATAAGATGATTTTAAACTGAAAGAGGCTAGATTTAGATTAGATAGAAGGAAGAAAATCTTTTCTGTGAGGGCGGTGAGGCACTGGCACTGGTTGCCCAGAGAAGCTGTGGCTGCCCCCTCCCTGGAAGGGTTCAAGGCCAGGTTGGACGGGGCTGGGAGCACCCTGGGCTGGGGGAAGGGGTCCCTGCCCGTGGCAGGGAGGTTGGAACTAGATATTTAAGGTCCCTTCCAACCCAAACCACTCTATGATTCTATGATTCTGGTGGCATATGAAGTGTACTAACCTGTAAGCTCCCCTGTAGAAAATACTAAGCATCCCATACCTCTAATGCAACTATGCGAGAGTTAACTTTTGCCAAAGATTGCAAAGTTTAAGCATCTTGGTGAATGTCTGAAAGGAACCAAAAGTAAATGGAGTGGAAAGGATTATTTCAATTCACTAAGCACAAAGATATTTTAGCTAAAACAAGTATTAGAAGCTTGAATCCTAGAAAAACAAAAATGATACACAAGCCTTCCTAACAAACCAAGGGGGATGCGATTCCGATTATTTTAAATTACCTGCTCCATGCCTCAGGGAACACTGCAATAACAGAGGAGATGGGCAATCAGTACCAAGTATGACTATTCATTGTTACAATGAAACACAGCAGAATAATGATGATTTCTGATACAGTCCCTTCGGTACCCCTGCTGATGATCGGCTTTCTCTAGAAACTGACCCTTAAGAACGAGCATCTGCAAAGGGAATGCACGTACACAAACTACAACGAACATATATCACTGCAGATCAATGGTGAGCCTCATTGCACCTTACTGTAGGTAACCTTATGTATGTTTGGAAGATTTTCATTTCAAATAGGTCAAATATTTTAACCACCAGTGAAAAATTAAAAGCTACACACTTTAGTAATCAAACAAACAAGAATTTTGGAAGGAAATATCTTAGAAATTTTCCACACATCGTACATTATTAGTTGGGTGCTGAAAGCTGCATAGTAACATGATGACCAATATTTTTCCTCATTAAAATAAGAAAAAAGAGAATTAAAAATATATTGTGATATAATGTGACATTCCTCATAATACATATTTCTTA